CATTTGATTAATTGGATGAGTGCCTTCTTCCCTTGTTGGATGCCTCTGTACATCTCAATTCCTTCTGGATCTTGGATGTGGTTGGCATGCTGTCCATTATTGGCAAGTTGCTCTCTGAACTTCTGTAGAGAAGACGTGACGAGGTCTTCAGCTTGTGGAATCGCCTTGAGAAAGTCAAGAAGCCAGGCTTCACATTCATTCAAGTTTCTGTCAACTTGGTCTCCATTTGGAATCTCCTTTCTTAGGTATTTGGTGTAGTTCCTTTTCCAGTTTTTCGAGTGAGTCTTAATTCATCCAATCCTTCTTGAGTGTATGTTTCGCCATTTTTATCCGTAATATGTCCATCCTTGAATGCATTCATCAACGCACTCAGATCATCTTGAATATAATTATAGATTGCCCTTTGGAATCTCTCTTTGATCCGCTAGAAATGTTTGTGCTGCAAATTTAGATGCTTCATGAGTCACTGATTGAAATGGAACAGCTCCTTCTGTGTTTGGTGCAAGGCGTTTCTCCCAGTAGTCCTTGCTGTTTGGCCATGTATCTGTGTAGAGTCCGCGGGGTTTGCCATCGTTGAAGTCCATCCCTTTCCATTTCAGCAACTTGTTCAGCATTTGATCAATTTCAAAAAGCTTCTGTGTTGGAACAATGAACAAGCTGCAAATTTGTGCCTTCTCATTCAAGACAGTGAAGAAGGCTTTGCCACCTTCGATTACAAGAAGCTCATCAATTGTTGCTTGAATAATTCGTTTGTTTTGATCATTTGCTGCCATTCCTTCTGGATTGAGAGTTGAATCCTGTGCCTGCAAGTATAGATCCCGGCAATCTTGATTGGATGGCGCATATGTTTGAACCACCTGCTGTAATTCTGGATAGGAGCCGCCAATGTTTGGCCAACTGAGATAGTCTTCAATTCTATCAAGATAAGAATTGGTGCTTTCTTCAGAACATCTTCAAAACAAATTGGTGTGCGTTGGAATGTGTCAGCATTTCTTCTTCCAATATTCAACTTGCCAATTTAGAGAGATGACAGTGATTCCCCTTCTTTGAGTATCACGGGTCCACTGGGTATT